AACTCGATATGTATATTGTACTCTTCGAGCCGGACAACTTTCTAATTTACCGTAATTAGCTCAGACCAAGAGGAAGTCAGATATTTTGGTTTGAATATGGTGAGCCTCTCTCTGTCTCTCTCTGAGCTAATATGGCAAGCCGTTTTAACATTTAATCATTTTAACCTACTAGTCTCTATTTTCATGCTACTAGTACTTATTTTTTAGATACTAGTATCTATTCCATTAAGTACTAGTACTTACTCATTAGCGACTAGTGCTTATTCTGTTTAGAATATTCAAAGTGCTTATTCAATTTTTATGCTTATTTATATTTTCAGAGCAGAAATTTTTTTTCAATTTAAGAATTATTTTTAAGTTTAAAAACAGCCAGAATGGTTGTTTAGTCAAAAATAATAATAATCCAAATCATATATAGTGCTATACTGCCCTCTTGTGTTCAAAATCATGTAGGCCTATTGAATTTATATATATTTATATATTAGAGAGAGATTGTGTCTGTTACAGTGACAAGAGTTTAACCCTTTAAGGCCTTGTCTTTTTGGATATATATCTTTTTTTTATAAAAAAAAGTGCATACAACCAATATATTTTAAATGTATTGTTTGCTTTAAATTAAATTAAGATTGTATGTTTGGTAATTGAACCTAAATAAATTTAAAATTAATGTTCTATATTTCAGATCAATATATTTGTTTTCCTTCATTTTAATCAACACTAACTTTATTCTCATCTGAATTATAAATAACTTATTTCTGTATAAAATAAAAAATCCCGAATAATCCAGACCAACCAGAGCGCACTATTTCTACAACATCATCAGTGCTGAAGCGGAACTACCAGAGTCGTTCGGCAGATAGTGAGCAGATATTTTGTGTCACGTCGTGCACAATAACCCTAAAGGCACCAGGGTGGCGGTGCCACCGGCTTTTTATATATATATATATATACATATATATATATATATATATATATATATATATATATATATATATATATATATATACATATATATATATATATATATATATATATATATATATATACATATATATATATATATATATATATATATATATATATATATATATATATATATAAATATAGCTGCGAGCAGCGATGAAGGGCCAAAGCCGGCGGCACCGCCACCCTGGTGCCTTTAGGTAACTAAAGGCACCGGGGTTGCGGTGCCACCGGCTTGGGCCCGTAATCGCTGCTCGCAGCTATATTTATTATTATTATTATTATTTTATCGACTATTCGGGCACTTTTGGGGCTCTTAACGTGCACGAAAACTCTTGAAACTTTGCACACTGGTCAGAACCCGCGGCCATCAGGGCCGGGCTGAAGCTGGTACCCGGGCGTGGCAGGGGGGCTCGACAGCGCCCCCTGGAACGGGGTCCGAAAACTTGGTCCATAAATCAAACACGCTTCCATGTAATAATATGAAACTCGGTACACATATAGATCTCATCGGTTCATATATCCTTTGTACTTTTACTTTTTACCCCAGCCCAACAGGAAGTCGGCTATTATGGTTTGTTTGGAAGCGTATGCCCCTGGAATTCGATATACTCCTCCTAGAGAATTCAACCAATCGCAACGAAACTCGGTCAGCATGATGTCAAGACATTGAGGATGAAAAATTGCCAGGGGATTTCTGATATCTCGAACGGTTTGGCCGTGACGAGGAAACGAATTTATGGCGAATAATGGAAACAGGAAGTGTGTTATAACTTCTGCATACATTAACTGATCTTGATGAAACTTCAACAGTGTGTTCGCTGTAAGAAGCCGATCACATGGATGTGACTATTGTGAGTCAAAGTTATAGCGCCACCAACTGGCAGCAGGAAGTGTGTCACTTTCAAAATGCTTTGAAATCACCCTCTTATTTTTACCCGATTTGCTTCAAACTTGATGTGTATAATGTAGACACTCGCCAGATGTAGACCTGTGAAAGGATTATTGATATCTTAGATACTGTTGCCATGGCAACGCATCAAACTTTAATATTCTTTTTGGATGCTTTTGAGACTCTTAGCATGCCTGAAATTGCTTAAAATTGCATGAAACTCGACAGACAGATCACATTTATTAGCCAGTAGACATGTGCAAAGTTTCAGAAACGGGCGTGGTGCAGGGGCTCAGTAGCGCCACCTTTTGTGACAAAAGTGGGTGGGGGGGGGGGGTTACTTTCATCTACAGTTACAAAACTTTTTCAACTTGATGAAAATACATTAAAGATGCTAAATTGTGAACGGATATTGAATATCTCTAACGGTTTTGCTATGGCGAGGGATTATGTCAAAAAGAGAATCAGGAAATGTCTCATATCTTTCTAAAATGTAATTATACACCATTTATTTTTCTATAAAATTATACTAATATTAGAACTAAACCCATTGTATTCCTTTTTTTCAATTTAAGATTTATGTTTAAGTTTAAAAACAGCCAGAATGGTTGTTTAGCCAAAAAAATAAAAAAATAAAAATCATTCACAGTGCTTTACTGCCCTCTTGTGTTCAAAATCAGGTAGGCCAATTGTATTAAATTGTAGGGATGCTACTATGGGAATATTTTCCCACCGTGACTCCGCTGGGGGCTTTAAAGTCGCTAACTTGAAAGCGAAAGTAACGGACGTCTCCACAAGACGTGCAGCTGTGAGCATTTTCGTTTCATTTTAAAAGAAGCCCCATTTCGGGGGCGGATTTCTTGAATGTATTTTACAAAATCACAATGTTGTGTTTGATTGCGAGTATCCAAAAATAAGTAAACACTTTGCAGTTTGAATGATCTTCTTGAATAAAATGACGGAGTAGCCAATGTTTCCACTGTTCGATCGCGGACGTCCACACGGACATTGATAATGGTGGCGCGTGCAGAGCGCTCGAGGGAATTCCTATGGAAGTAGGAATGAACTAAAAAACGTTCACTCTGTTCTGCTCGCTCATCGTCGTGGACGCGCAGCGTTATGAATGCCCGTGTGATGAAAAAATAAACAGATTAGGGCTCTGTTTGATGACAAGAAATGAAAACCAATGCGATATGATGAATGTCCAAAAGATGGCTCCCACAGACTGTTTTTAAATAGGATTGTTTGATATTTTTTTGCTTTTAAACTGTGTGTGTGTGTGTGTGTGTAAGAGATTTTGGTTGGGTGACAGTTGTAGTTTACAGTTTGACAAGAGTTTATAGCTTGACAAAAGCACAATGTTGTGTTTTATTGCAAGTGTACACAAATATAAGTAAACACTTTGCAGTTTGAATAATGTCCTGTATGAACAAAAGGACGGAGTATGTTTTTATGTCTACATTGTTCAATTACGCCACACACACACACACACACACAAACACACACACACACACACACACACACACACACACACACACACACACACACACAAACACTATTTTTCTAATCAGATCAGGCAAGTAATATTCTGTCTTGTCTCCTAAAAAAACAATATATATATATTTATGTATATATATATATATATATATATATATATATGTGTGTGTGTGTGTGTGTGTGTTTGTGTGTGTATATATATAAATATAGCTGCGAGCAGCGATGAAAGGGCCAAAGCCGGCGGCACCGCCACCCCGGTTATAGCGCCACCAACTGGCAGCAGGAAGTCTGTCACTTTCAAAAAGCTTTGAAATCACCTGATTGCTTCAAACTTCACTACTATGATGTAAACACACGGCAGATGTAGACCTGGATGTAGACCTGACCTTTCAGAAGGTTGCTCTCGCATACTTTGTGGTTGATATGTGCCCTCAATGCACACTTTTGCAGAGCCCACACTGATACAAGCTCTACAGCACACTTCTTTTCGACAGTCAAAGCAGGGTTACGTTTTTGCACGTCGTGCACAATAACCCTAAAGGCACCAGGGTGGCGGTGCCACCGGCTATATATATAAATACATAGGGCTATACTGACCTCTTGTGTTCAAAATCAAGTATTGTATTTATATATTAGGTATGTTTCTCGGTTATTTGACGTGTGACCGCTGGGGGCTTTTAAATCGCTATGGATGCGCGAGGACCTGTTTTATCCTAATCATTTTGAACGCGCGTTTATCAAGTCTTATGCCACTCGGTACCAATTGAAGATACTCTCTTATACCGCTATGAAGGTATTTTGTCATGTCTAATGTATTACAGTAATAATGCCACCAAAATGCAACCAAAGCACAGGATAGCAATAGTTTTAAATATAAGGTAATTAATAATCGTTGGAAAGAATGACCGTTTTAAACGGAACATTAATCCACCAATAGATAGCCCAACATAGAAGTTGCTCGCCAGAAAAGCACCTCTTCAGCAAAAAAATATATTTATATATATATATAAATATATATATTTTAAATGTATTGTTTGCTTTAAATTAAATTAAGATTGTATGTTTGGTAATTGAACCTAAATAAATTTAAAATTAATGTTCTATATTTCAGATCAATATATTTGTTTTCCTTCATTTTAATCAACACTAACTTTATTCTCATCTGAATTATAAATAACTTATTTCTGTATAAAATAAAAAATCCCGAATAATCCAGACCAACCAGAGCGCACTATTTCTACAACATCATCAGTGCTGAAGCGGAACTACCAGAGCCGTTCGGCAGATAGCGAGCAGATATTTTGTGTCACGTCGTGCACAATAACCCTAAAGGCACCAGGGTGGCGGTGCCACCGGCTTTTTATATATATATATATATATATATATATATATATATATATATATATATATATATATATATATATAAATATAGCTGCGAGCAGCGATGAAGGGCCAAAGCCGGCGGCACCGCCACCCCGGTGCCTTTAGGTAACTAAAGGCACCGGGGTGGCGGTGCCACCGGCTTGGGCCCGTAATCGCTGCTCGCAGCTATATTTGTTTATTGTTATCGATAGTAATAGTAAAATATTGTGAACTAGATATTATCCAGGGTTTCTTTAATATAGAACTTGTGTTTGTCACTTCACAGGTTGGTTTTAAAAGCGTCTCAGACTATATCACGTACACTTGGGTGAAGGATGACCAGGTGTCTTTCAATGATGAGCTCTTTCAGGTTTGCAGCATTTGCTGTCTGTGTTTCTTGTTAAATAAAGAATTTTTTTTCTTCACATAATCAACTGAGTAGATTATAGATTATATCGTCTTTTTTTCACAGGTTTATGTGAACAAAGATGAAATTCCAGTTCGTGGGGGAGAATGTGTGCTGTGCTATTATAGCAGCAACCTGCAGTGCATTGTGGGTATTAGTCAACCTTTCAGGGTGAGTAAAATTTTACTTCTATATTTTGCTATAATCAGTGTTGGGTAAATTACTCTTTAAAAAAAAGTCATTAATTACTAGCTATTATTAATTACATTTTCAACAGTGTAATTATTACTGTACTAATTACTCTCTCTAAAAAGTATAGCATTACTTATTACTATTTACTTTCTTAATCCCGTAAAAAACCTCGACCATTTGAACAATACAAGGATAGACATGAATCTGCTCTTTAAATTATTTCAAATAAGTTATATAAAATGGCATACATTTTTCTTGAACTGACCAAAGTTTTTAAAGGGAGAAGGTTAAATTATATGCATACATATCATTAGATGTTAAATCCCATTTTATTTCATATAGAATCGTTCTATAGTCTATACAGTATTTAATGCAATTACATCAGAAGTAACTGTAATTAAATCACAGAAAAATCTCTTACTTTGCTTTGTCAAGGTAAAAGTAATTTAATTACAATGATTATTTGCTTAGTAATGCATTACACCCAAAATTGCACATTATTTAAATGCTTTAACATATAAAAAATGTATTCATTTATTTACGGTAACATAGACATATGGCTAGTCCTGCTTTTATGTAAGTAATTATTTTTAATCACTGACTTCAGCTGAACAACAGCCAAATTGCATATTTTCCGGTTTATCACTGTAAAGCTGATATGAAACAATCTGTGTTGTATAAAGTGCTATATAAATAAATTTGACTTGACACTGTTATGGCTGTATGTTTTGAAAGGCATATTTTCAGTTGGCTTCAGTGTTTTACTTCTAGTATGGTATAAAAATCAAATGAATGTTCACTTCAGGTGCAGGAATCCAGAGTGGCGATTGAAGAGGGTTTAGTGTCTGAAAATATCAATGGACTTGATGAAACGGTTGCCAGTTAAGACCAAGACCAAGATGTCAAACCAAACATTACCAGTGGATTTAAGCAAAGTGCAATTTTAATCCAAAATTTGAGCTTTTATTGGTATGTGATATAGTAACTACAATGTGTGTTTTTTTCTCTCTCTTTTAACCAAGAAATATTATAAATCGCAGCCAGTATATTTTAAATTGCAGCCAGTTGGTGGGACCCGTCCCAAATAGATTGTGGTATTCTAAGTAAGCACATTTAAATTGGTACTGAGTTTATTGAAATGGATTCAAAAACAGTTGTTACAAATTAAGAAAAGCATACCAGTGATGTAATTTATTTAATTAATGAATTCACACCACAGCCTTACTATTACCACATTCTTTTAAAAAAACATTTAGTCTGCATTTAACTTGTAATATATTTTCAAACAAATGTTTTATTAGTCCACTGTACATCAAAATGTCCATGTTTACTGTTACAGCTAATGCTGTCCTTGTTTTCTCATTCCATTCTAAATTCATGCAGACTGTTACACTGTCAAGAAAAGGCTGCTTTTGCACAATATATTTGAGAACTTTTATGGCACATGTGTACTTTGTTGATCTATTTATGACTCATACTGAAGTGGTATTATTATATTATTTGTGTCTCACTGAAATTGAGTGCGAATAACTGAAGGATGTGATGGAAATACTTTGACCAATTCTATTTTTGTGGTCAGTACAATTTGATATTATTTTTATGTTTCAAGTATAAACCGATTATGCGCAGAGTGCTTTTTGGCTTAAGAATGTGTTTTTGTTTTAATGTTAGACTAATGCTAATGTATAAATTCAATAAATTTGTAAACAAAGAGTTTATTTTCCAAACAACTAAATGCATACTGATGATATGAAATAAAGTTATTTAAATAAAACAAATGTATAACAGTCTTGTTAATTTTGATAATGAAAATAATAATAAGAAACAAGGTTGTGAGGGATAAAGGTGTATTTCTTTTTAAAATCTTATTTGCTTGTTTATAATTTTTTTATTGTTTTTATTTTATTTTGAGTATGCAGATGGGAAATGAATATGTAAATTGTTTTGTCATTATTGATCGACATTTAGATACACAGTAGTACAATAACAACATCTCTGAGACTGGTACAAATTACAATCCATTCCACTCAAAGCATGTGTGTGTGTGTGTGTGTGTATGTGGGATCTACCACCCCCTAGCGTTGAAACAGTTATGTTGCCATAGTAACAGTGTGTTTACTTGCCGGCAGAGTGTCAGCACATCAGTCGTGTTTTAATTGCATTTATATCTGACAGGTAAGACACCTGATTTTCGCTTAATGCTTTAATTATAACTATTTATAATGTTTATCTTATATTTAAAACACTGAATAGATTGTTTAAGACAAGAATTGATGGAGAAAAATGTTTGTTTTATAACAGGTAACTGATATCCTGACATATCTGAATTTTGGTCACACTTTAGATTAGGGTCCAATTCTCACTATTAACTACGACTTTTGCCTCAATAAACTCCTAATTGCTGCTTATTAATAGTAAGGTAGTTGTTAAGTTTAGGTATTGGGTACGATTAAGGGATGTAGAATAAGGTAATGCAGAATAAGACATTAACCCGTTTAATCCCACCGGTCACAATTGTGACCGCAGCTTTTTTCTTATTTCTGGAAGCTCTAAAAATGTTTTTATTGACTTTGGGCAAGAAATTCAACTTTTAAATGACAAAATAGATTGTCTTGATTAAAATCAATTAATGTCATGTGACTAGTGTGAAAGGTCACATGACCAGATCAGTTCACTTCCTGCTTGCACATCTAGAAGAAGATGTCTTCCTCAGACTACTACAAAAAGTAGTATATAAAACATCTTAATTTACATATAGAACTATCATATTTTGTACATATATTCTTTAAAGGGTCTACTACTGATATATTTTGAGAATTATACTCCAGCATATATATTTTGCTCGTAAGACTTGTAAATTTGTTTACGGTCACAATTGTGACCGGTAGTATAACACAGTGCTTCAATTGAAAACAGAGGTATTGGCTGGTATTGGCAGGTTTTGGCAATCCTACACTGAACATGCCACACCTGTGAGGGGGATGGATGATCTTGGCAAAAGAGAATTGCTCACTAAAACAGATTTAGACAGATTTGTGAAGAATATTTGAGAGAAATGGGCCTTTTGTGTACATAGAAAAGGTCTTAGATCTTTGAGTTCAGCTCATGAAAAATGGGGGCAAAAACAAAAGTATTGCGTTTATAATTTTGTTCAGTGTAGTGATGAGTGTCCCAGAAACGGTCAATGTGTTGGACCTTCTTGACGTATGTGACCCCCTTCCCCCCCACCCCCACCCCAAATTGAAAGTGACTGTGATAGTGATGGCTCAGATAGGGAGTACCAGGGTGAAACAGCCCATTTGCCAAGTAGACTATTGAATGGCGATGCAGAGGTGAATTATGGAGGATTGGGCAGATGTTCATGAGAACCAATTGGTGTGCCCCACACATGACCACAAACAACCCTTTCTACAACGTACGGCCCATCTTCAGTGCACTGAATGAGTGAACACAACACACATCTCCCTGAAACTGGCCTAGGACAGGGCCCAAGTGTAGTCATGGTCTAGCCCATACGGGTCTAGCCGAACAAGCAGAAGTTCCTCCAGGGTGTAACTTTGTACATGACAACCTTTTCACCTCACTAAGCCTTCTTCACGATATGCCAAAACGAGATATTGGATGTCTTGGAATGAATTGTGTCAATAGGTCTAATTGAAGAATTTGAATGAATTCTGACTATGTTGTTTCCCACCGGTCACTATTGTGACCGAGTATAAAACCTAATATTTCACGAACTTAACCAACATAAAATCAAAAAAGGCATAATGTTTGAGTGTTAGGGAGGCCTAAGGAGTAAAATGCATGTACTCAAGTTGCAAGAAAAAATTTGGGATTAAACGGGTTAATATGTGCTTTATAAGCACTAATAAACAGCCAATATCTTAGTAATAATTATGTTAATAAGCGCCTAGTTAATAGTGAGAATTGGAACCTAAACTAAAGTGTTACCCTGAATTTTATAATATATACGTTTTGAAATATAATGTACCTGTTAGTTGTTTTTTGGCAACAGTATGACTTTAATGCAAGTGTTTAAAACAATAAAATAACTACATATCATTAAAATAACTACATATCATATCGTTATCATTATAGTCTAGTAATTATAAAACAATGACCTAAATTATTTAAAAACCAAAGAATGACTTTCTTTCTCATTAGAAAAATGTCTAGGCTGATGGGACCCCCTGATAAGTTTCTGCCATCCGAGTGGAAGCATGCAAACCAGGTGCATTTCAGGAGTTCGGAGGCAGAACGAGCGCACTCGGAGAAACTGAGAGCAGAGTGTCAGAGACTCATAGAGGAGAGCAACAAATCTACCAAACACATGCAACAGGATGCACAAAAGAAGCTGGGTATGCAGTGCTCAAAATGCATGTAACTGGAGGCCTTGCATGAGATGTGCAGTAAGACAGGAAGTGTAATGATGACACTTGACCTTTTAAAGATAAGTGATAGAAATGATGAAGAGAGGAAGTTATTTCAGATAGGGTTATATTGATTTCCTTGATAAAGACATTTATTTGTTAAACTGTTCTGGCCTACTTAGTCTGTATATATTCTCCCTCCCTCTTCTTTAGAGCAGAGAATCCAGGACATCAAATTCTGGAGGCAGGAACTGGAGAAGAAGTTTGAGGAGATGGTGCAGGAGATCGAGACCCTCGTCGTCTTCAAGAGCCGTGTGGAAAAAGCCTTGGAGAGCTGCTCTCAGCCTTTTCAAGTGACTTTGCAATGTCTTACTGAGAGGTACTTCTCACTGTAGAGCACAACCAGAGGACATTTCTAAAATCAAGTGTTGAACTACATGACCAAATTGATCAAAAGTGACAGTAAAGACTAAAGAACCCTGAAAAAACCCATCATGGTTTCCACAAAAAATATTAAGCAGCGCAACTGTTTTCAACATTGATAATAATAAGAAATCTTTCTTGAGAAGCAAATCATCATATTAGAATGATTTCTAATCAGTGGTCTAGTGACCCCAACTTTCGAATGATAGTGTAAGTTATAAACCAAATTAACCACCCCTAATTTAGGATTAGGCCGACATCATTCAGCACAGTTCAAACCTTTCACAAAATGTCTCATTGGTAACCTAATCATGTGATATGTACGGGACAACCCTTTAGAGAGAAGCGTGTGGCGATTGACCTGGTGCATGATGGGGTGGAAGAGGAACTGTTGAAGGAGAAGGAGCTGATTGAGGGTGTGATGGTTCTTCTACAGCGAACACTGGAGCAGATCAACGAGCAGATCAGGTTAGTGGGACAGTGACAAAACTCCAAGGACTAACTTGTAAGGAATTCAATTGTCCTACATACTGTAGCAATTGATGAGTAATTCCAAAGTGTTTAAAGGGGTCATATAATGGTACATGCACTTATACAAGTTGATTGTACTGAAATGTGTGTTGGCAGTGCCTGTACACAACCATCATAAAATGATAAAAATCCATCCAGTGTTTTTGTATTAATCTCCTTATATGTTTTCCCCTGCCTCAAATTGAGCCGTTCGATTTTGTGACGTCACACGCTCGGAAGCCCCTCCCCCGATTGTTGATTGACAGCATCGTTTCAACACAGACCCGCCCTCGCTCGTGAGCGAGCTGTCAATCATAGTCTGCGCGGACCGGCGCGGTCATTGTTGATATGCTGGAGCACTGTCTATGAGCAGAATGGCGTCTAAGCGATTGTGGTGTTCTGTTCTTGGGTGTAATAACGAACACAGCAGTCATTTTAATGTTCCTAAATCCGAACCGCTGAAGACGCAGTGGCTGAGTTTGTTTTCGAAGGGAATATTCCCCACGAGCAACGTCAATGCTCTCATGTTTGCGCGAATCATTTCACACACCAGACTGCTTTATAAACGAGGGTCAGTATAAAGCTGGTTTTGCTAAGAAGCTGCTCATGAAAAAAGGATCGGTACCAGCTATTCGTGTTCCTGCTGAACCTCTAGAACAACTGAAGTTAGTGTAACGTTTTATTAAACTTAACATTAATATTTATATTAATCTTTGCAAATTGCTAGCTGCACGCTTCACAATGAATGCGTCTAAGGTTTACACTCAGGGTACATTACGGCATGTTTTCTATGTATGACGTTCTCAATATAATTCATAATCCCACGTTAATACTGAACAACGCATTATGGTTATTGTGTTATTGTGTTACAAACGGTGTACGCACAGCACAGAGGGGCGGAGTGAGCAAAGCTAATTATCATTTAAAGTCATATGCACTGAAACGGCGTGCTGAAAACAGAGCTGTTTTTGACCAAGTAAAATAAGTGTTTTCTTACAATACTAATGAGAATTTTTAATTGAAGTATATTACAAACTTTTAATTTAGACCCTAAAGAATCATACTAGCTTGTACAAAAATGGCATTATATGACCCCTTTAAAATATGAATTATATTGTGTTGTTCAATCAAATTCTCTCTAGTTATATAAACGTCAATTTGCTCCAAACTAAATTGTAGTTTGTAAATTACTCCTGTGCTTTTCAGGCTTATTCGTTCAGTGAAGTACTATCTGGAAAAGGACTTGCAGGACAAATTTCAGGCCGAACGCATCGATGATTTCTGCTCTCTTCTCACCAACACATCGCCTGATTTAAACGGAGGGAATTCAAACTTAACAAGTGTTGGGTAAGATGACATGTTTATGATACAGTATTTAAAAATCTAGGCTAATTCTGTTTTATAAATATATTATCAAATGTTAACAGATTTAGGTTTTCCAACGTTTTTTTTTCCCTTTGCAAACCTATTTCCTTTACCGTTTCCAGAATTGCAGTGAATCCTGAGGAATGGGAGAGCCTCTGCAACTTAAACGTTAGCAAAGCGGAGAATGAGAAGAATAACTCTCTTTCTCTGAGAGCTCTTGTGGCAAGCTTGCTAGAGCAGACGGCTGCAGACATGCGCAGACAGTATGAGGCTACGGGAAGGGCATTTGAGCTGCGCATACAGGAGACCAAAACTGCCAAAACACAGCTTGAGAACCAGCTCAATGAGGTTGGTTGCACTTGTGAATTGAAGGGATAGTTCACCCAAAATTTTAATTCTCTCATCAATTACTTACCCTCGTGCAATCTCGGATGTATATCCCGCATACTATATAGTAGGGAAGTATTCGATTTCAGATGCAGCGAATGGCTTGAGTTGGTACTTATTTTGAATAAGTAATTACTAGTAATTACACTAAACAAATATGTTCTATATTATATGAATGTGCGTAGTATGAATGTAATCTGGACGTACTACTTTCGCCATGTTGTCAGTATCATATAGTATGGACATGTATGCGTATATATACTGTAATAAGCTGGATAATTCAAAATCAAAAATTTGTATTTTAAGTAATATATTTATTCATTTACTTACTATTAAGTAAATAAGGTCAATCTTTTGTTATCTATAGGGTTTCGTTCTAGGTTTTGCTGTTGTTGTTGTTATAATTTGACTAGTTTTATATGTCTGTGCTCTCTCAAAGCTGCTAGCAGAGATAGCAAATCAAGAAAAGAATCTGGAGGCTCTAAAAGCGGCTATCGCAGAGAAAGAAGCTCCAGTGAAAGTGGCTCAGACTCGACTGTCCGCTCGCAGCCAAAGGCCCAACGTTGAGCTCTGCCACGACCCGGCTCAAATCCGGCTGCTGGCAGAGGTCAAGGAGCTCGCTAACAACATCGAGAGGTAAAGGAAAGGGTTTGGATGTTACCAAACATATAACATTAATTGCATGTCCTAATATGCTAGTATGTCCCCAATAAAAGCATTTTCCCTCTATGGTTTCTGCATTAGACTAGCCGAGGCGTTCCAGCTTTCAGAGATGAAACTGAAAGCTCTAGCAAGCAGCCAGCTGAGCCTGGAGGAGGAGATCCAGGTGAAGACCAACTCTCTGTACATAGATGAGGTGATCTGCCTTCAGCAACGTCAGCCTGTCGTTATTCACAACTTCTGAACAGAGCTCATGTACGACGGAAATGCCTAGTATAGTTAATGGCGTTTTGGAAGAAGAGTTTCCTTTAAATCATTTTAAGTTATTATGATGGTTTCAATACAACATCTAATGTCTTTAAAAATCTCTACTGGGATGTTTCCTCTCAGAATCTGTTTGTTGCACACAGCGATGTTTTGATAAAATGTCTTTAAAAAAATGCTAAATTAAAAAGATATACAAATAAAAAAGATGATCCCAATTTACTTGGTTCTAGTCTTAAAACATGAATTGATGGTTTATAATAAAAAATAAAAATGGAATCCTCATAATTCATTATACAGAAATGAACAAATAATTAGGTATAAAGAAAATATCCGTTTTTTAGAAAATAATTTCAGTGCTAACAATACTGGTTTCTGTATTAGTTTAGTTTTACTTTTAATCATCATGGGAGGTGTATCAAGTACACACATCTCTATGGTTATGATAAATCAGTCAGACCAAGTAAAAAGCACGAAACGGATCTGAAGAAAAACTGCTGTCACATCAGCTCTTCAAATATAAGGTAAGCGACCATTTTAACAGTTTTGAAAATAAAGGTGCTGTTGTTGTGTCTTTTTTGTAACTAATAATGTCAAATAAGACTGTTATTTTTATTATTGTCATAGTTGTGCTTTAAAAATACATGATTGCCGTATTTCTCTCATTATATTAGTCTGCGATGCTGCAAACATTGCTGTTCATCCTAACGGTCGTTCAAATGACTGACTGTTATGGTTTTGTGAGTGTTGTTAACTTGTGTATTGTGTTGTAATTTCATCATGGTCTTATTACTCGATTTATAGAGAACAAGTACATTTTCTTTTGACTTTTTAGTCATGAAAAGATTTCAAATATCAGCATATAAATAGTAAGATTAAATGTTTTGACTATATTGTTTTATATATCATCTGCTGCACTTCTATGACTTTTACAGTCCAGGTTAAGAAATATGACTGATCGTAAACATTTTAATTTTAAAATGATTTTTATCCCTTTGATATGAGCCATTGATTTTAATAACATTTTGTCAAAAAAAATATGAAAATACGCTTGCAAATATTACATTTAATAAATCTACAGTATTGTGAAAGTTTTTATTTTGTTTTTTCATTTCAGACCCTAATGAACTGACTAATGAACCGACTAACTTCTCCATGATTACCGTAAAAGACAACTTCACTGAAGAGGCTGGTTTGTGTATCAGAGTTTTCTGTTTTTTCACTGTCCCTCAAAGTGTCTCAGAACCCATTGAAAGGACCTGGTTCAAAGGAGATCCACAAAATCCAACTGTTGAAGTTCCTTGGGCCAGTTTTGCTATACACTTTCATGGTGATGAGAGAGAGTGCAGCTTTATGCTGACAAACTTGGTTCAGGGTGAATCTGATGGTGAATACAGATTGAAACTGAAATGGGATCAAGAGAAAGTGTATATCTTTCCTCAGACAGTAAAAATTGCTGTAAAAGGTTGGTTGTGTGTTTGTATTTATGCATTTTAACAGAGAACGAGTTGCACACACATCCAGATTAATTTATAGCATTTCTGACTCCAGTAAATCATTGTTTTTAGAGCTCAACCAGAAACCAACTATAAACGTCCCACAACTCACAGCGGGAGAGAAGGCAGAGATATCCTGCAAAGTTCCAGGAGATTGCATAAATACCTTAGCAGATATAGTTTGGACAGGGATTGAGCCTGATGAAATTAAACGTGTAGCTTCTGCAGTTCCTGGTAGTGAACACCAATATTCAGTATTGATTTTTCATCCTGAGCCTGAACATCACAATACTAAGCTCACCTGCACAGTAATTTTTCAAAAAAGCATTCAGACCGAAAGTACTGTGATCCTTAAAGTAAGAAGTATGTATTATTTCACTTATAACACATCATAATTTCAAATTTCAAGTAATGTGATGAAGACCATTTTTTAAATAAACTGAATAATAATTTTTCTTCAGACGCCCCTAAAATCCTGAATAGCTCCTGTTGTTTGGTGTGGGGTGATGAATTGATCTGCATGTGTGTCAGCAGTGGTGTGCCGTTACCCCAGATACACTGGACGATTCTGGACAGTGAATATTACAGTATTGCTTCAGCAAAGAACACCAGCAGCAGCATCACCGTCTCCATTGCTAGTTTCAGGAACCTCAAAGCAACCATTGAATGTGTCAGTAAGAATCCCATTGGTATGGCAGAAATGGAAATCCAAGTGCACAATCATGCTGAGAAACCCAAAGGTAGGCAGGACAAAATCATGCGTTTTACAAGCATTTGACATTTTCTGCCATAGTGACAAACATCTGTATGAATTAACTATCATTCTGGAGTTGGCTTCTTGTATGAAATTTCCTTTATTCTTCTCTCATTTTTCTCATGTTTTAGTAAGTTGGAGTTTGTCCACCCCTTGGATATTTTTTACCCTTTCAGTTGTTGTAAATGTCATCTTCATTTCCTGTTTGACTGTCATCCTACGGTAAGAACTTCATAAACTCAAGAAAATTATGTTGGCTGGCCATTTAGTGTCAAATGTTTGTATTTGTCACTAATGCCACACATACCATTACCATTTTGGCAGAAGGAGAGAAAAACTTAAGAAACCAAATAATGACAACCATGTCTACATGACTCCAATGAAGAGAGAGGAATCTGTGTATGAGACTGTTCAAATGTCTTCAGAGAGATCTTAGTGGTTTGATCAACAGCTGAAATAAAGCTTTTTGTTAAGTTTATACATCAAGTGGCTTTTCTTACACATTAGCATAATGTGAAACAGCATGTAGCTATTTTAGCTCGTGCTAATGTCCTAAAATCCCAAATGTAACATTTGTTTTTATGTCCTTTTTACTTTATGCCAGCAAAATGCTTAAAAAAACAGTTTCTTATTCCACTATGTTTTAGAAAAGGTTTGCAATCTTTGTTAAGACTTTCATTTTAATAAAAAAATTGTGATTGTATTCAAAGGTCTTGTGTTTCAATACATTTCATGCCTTTCAAAATGATGTGTTCGTTTAGTGTTTTACGTGTTAAGGATAGGGGGGTGTAACGCAAGTATTGTGCAACAATATAGACATCACAGCTGCAGAAACTGGAGACAGATCAAGATCAAGAAAAACAGCACCAATCTGATCGCAATTAATACTGCTGTCACATCAGGTTTTATGAGCTCTTCAAATATTAGGTAAGTGATAATTTAGTCGACATCATTTTAACAGTTCTAAAAAAAAAATTCTGTCTATTTTCTTTGCTATGATGCTTTTTCACTGATACATTTAAAATATATTTAGACAATGTAGAAGACAATTATTAAACTTAAGTCCACAGTCTGCCTGATCTGGGCCTGAGCCTGAACATCACAATACTAAGCTCAACTGCACAGTAATTTTTTTTTGTAAAAACTCACAGACCGAAATGGATTACTGTCGTGTTCGTTTTGCGTGGTTTTGGAAGCATCAACTTTCAGGTATCTATCCACTTGAACTGCATCCAAAATTCTTCCCTATAGTAGGTGGAAAAAATAGTATGTGACATGTCTGTCTTCACAGTACACATAAAAGAGTAGGCAAAAAGTTCCCGGATGACCTTCTTCTGGCGAGATTCTTGAGTGTGCATATGATGAACGCTTTACTATCCCATGGGATACACAGCCTTGGACTCACTGATGGATTATTTTTCCAAAAACAACAACAACAAAAAAACTCTTGATGCCAGTAAAATACTTTTGGAAAAGCAGTTTATCCAAGTAATGGCGAACGAATAAAGCGAATATGCCAGTTTTAATTTTTTTTTTTTTTTTTCACTTTTAAAGAAAATTGGCAACGTTTGTGGCTGGAGACTTTTATTAAATAAAAAGAACGCAAGCAAAGAACATCATGTAAATTATTATTTAAATAACGATTGGAGATTTTCTGTTCTGCATTATTATGTCAATTAGGAAACAACATTACTTTGTTCATTATTATTGCCATCACACAGTCAGATAGGCCTACATACAAATATTCTTTACAACACTTAAAGTGAAATGCGCCCCCAAATCTTTTTGCTTACAAATAAATATCTGTGTATATACCTTCAAACATGGACTGTCTGTTACTAATTGTATATGCACATATAATGTCAGTTTTTTTGTGTGATTTTCTGCAAAATATACACCATTGTTGCACAATGTATGTTCTTGTTGTGCCGTCAAAGCTTCACAACACAGAACTATATATCATGCAGAGTATTTACATACATTGGTATCCTACCAAGGTGCATTGAATGCTTTATGAATGTAAGATGCAATTAATTTAATATCATAATGACTCATTAATCTGTTAGTCAAAATGCATTTCAAGGGCTAATTGCATATACTGACCATTTAACAAACATCTATTGGACACAACCTTACCAGAGGATTACATGATTACATAAAACATTACATTTATTTCAAGCACCTTAGGTAAAGTGATACCTTTCTATATGTTCCAAATGGTGGTTATTTCTTACTCAGTTTCAAAGGATGAGTTTCAATCATCCATTATTAAATATGAATTTCTATTGGTATCAAATGTCAGCTTGACTCTATTGGATTGCAGTGTGTACCGGGGCAGGGATGGCCATCAGGCATGATCATATACTACTTCCTACCAGATTGGCTGACTAATTAAAAGGGTGATTTTGCTCCTCAATTTATTTGGAACATATTTTAAATAAATATATATCTGAATAAAAGGGCACAAAGTAGTTGGGGCAAACAAAATCCAGCAACCATTCAATAAACCAGTTTTGAATTCAGTTACTGGCCTGTTTTCATTTACAAATACAAATAATTAAGATACAGTATAAACTGAAATGAAAAAACAAACAAAAAAACAGTACAAATGTAAGCCAAAATTAAGGAATTCTTCACCCAAATCTGAAAATTGTGGTACTTGCTCACCTCCATTTTGTTCCAAATTCACATAACTATCTTTCCGTGGACCAAAGTATAAGAATCTTTATGCAGCTATTCCATACAATAGTTCAGCCATCACAAACTCCAAAAATGGATGAAAAAACATCATAACAGCACCATAAAAGCAGTCCATACGACTCAATATTCCACATTTTATTCCACGTTTGAGTCCAGATAATTTAAAATGGCATCCCATTCTTACGTTTTGGCATAACTGATGTCAATAATGGCTTCAAAACACTTGGAATATAGCACACAATGGTACTTTAATTATGTATTTTGCCTTTTTAAAGTTTGACAGATGTAGTCACTATGAACTGTTGTTGTATGGAAATAACTGAATGGAGATTCTTGCAACATGCAGTTGAAATGAAATGAGGGTGAGTGAATTTTCATTTTTTGGGTGAATTATCCCTTTAACAATCACTTCTGGGTATGTGAAAAACGTATCAATGTACACATAGTCTGGCTATATTTGAGAGTATTAGTCTCTCTGGACAAACCCAGAGTTGGGGATAGTGCTTATTCTATATGTCGAGGCGCACAGAGCACCTCGTTCCCTGATGCTTTGACTTACAGCGGACACAGTGAAAAGGACCACTAGTGACTGAGTCTCTCCCGAAACCATACCGATTCCCTTAAGCTTGCTTCAAACTTTGAGAAAAGCTCTACTGTAACTCTTGGGGAAAAGAACCTTCTTTTTAGAAAGTCTTGTCTTTTAAACCAAGAGAACCCTAAAACCTCTCATTTCTGATTGAGAGACAAATATCTGGTATGGTTACAAACAAGAATGGGTATAGATAACCCAAAACTATCTCTATTGTATATTTTACAGGTGAGGGAAAGTGTCATTCCCAGAACCTCAGAGACGTAAGACTAAGAGAGCTCAAAAACCTCATACTCTGACAAAAATAATTGCACATTGTCCGCTAGCTGTTTAAGACCGTTCTTTTCCCCTCAAAAGGCCACGTTTAATATGGGTGAAATTGAAAATTTGTGGGGCATGGGGAATGATTGGGTCCTAGTGGCCACCGTGTCCCGTTTGGCCAAGGCATCAGGGAAGAATCGCGGTTCATTTGGCCTTAATTTCAGTATAGTCGCTGCCGTCACCATCAGCCCTCCTGAAGCCTCCCTCCCGGTGTCGTCCATGGAGGAACTCTAGGGCGGCGTAATTCAGCTCTTGCCTCTCCATGCCTGCAATTGGGCCAACAGATTGGTAATCACTGTCGTCTCCCTGTCAAGATAATGTAGGAAAGATATTTAAGCCCAATTTTGGGGGGAAGAGCAGGAAAACGTTGGTAATGTCAAAATAAAAGTTCCCAAAAAGACACTCAAAAGCACTGTTAGCAATTAGATGCTAAACATAAGCACAGCGCATGAACTATTAGTTTCCAGGCAGCAGTGTTAAAAACAGAAATAAATCTGAATTATTTATTGTCGGAATTTGATTTTTTTTTTCTAAAAAATATTCCATATTATGCTTTTATTGTTGTCTAGTGCCAGTTCATTTCACCTCCACCCATTTGTTTACATGCTCATCTTAAATTTCAGCCTTACCGTGCCTTCCTCTAGGATGGAGTTAAACTTTGAGCCCAGGAGCTCAGTCTTAAGCTATGTTAGGGGAAGAAAAAGAGACAGAGTGCAGAGAAGCAATGAAAGAGGAGAGAATAGAGGTCAGGAAATGCTCTAAGCATAGGCCACACTGGGACTCTCAGTTGTGATGCGCCATCCACACTTGGCTTTTGTAACAGTGGCTATATTCGGAATAGTATACTAGCATACTACCGTTTCTGCACAATGTATACTGTGCACATTATGCCACTTTTTGTATACACTGACTACGCAGAGTACTACTATGGTTCATTTGGCAAAATATGCAGCATACAACACAGCATACTGTATCCCACAACGTAATGCCTTTCACTTGAACATCCATTTCTAGCGGGATTATTAAACTGGAGGTAAATTCAGCCATCTCTTTCTAAATTCAATTTTTGATTGGACTTACAAAAGTTAAGACATTTTAGACAAAATTGGATTACAAATGAAACAATTTATTTAAAAGATGATATCTGCATGCATGCAACATAAGGTCATGTGACAATATGTGTTAGCATACATCAGCTTGAAAAGTCTACTCTTCCATTTGCTATTTTTTTAATAGTAGTAGCATAAAGTGTATAGGCCTACTGTGTAGTATTTAATAAATAGTTTTCTAGCATACCGTTCTGAACATAGTATATAGCAAAACTATAATTTTCCCCTCTTCAAATCATTCTTTAAAAACTTAGTACTGAGTATGTAGCAATCAGCAAAAATGAGTAATTCTTTTTAACACGTGGTTCCTGATTGTTTTAAATGTTAATGCTAAGTGTGGAAAGCTAATTACAACTAGAGAAGAGGCCGTATATAATATCATTTGCCACATGCATGGAAAAGACTATAGAATGTTGATTAAGTTATTGTATTTTTATTGTGTTCGCTTTCATTTCGTATTATCACTGTGTGTGCAAGTACTGTATATGTAGGTGATTTATTTATCATTGTGATATCTCACCACTTTTTTCCTGAGACTCTGTTTGTCCTTCTTGACTGCGCTGTAGAACATTGAGGGATTCTCCACTTTAGATCCCACGTCCTGCCCAGGGTTACCATTCTCTCTGGGGGGTGGAGTCAGAGAATCAGACTCTGTCTCACACTCAACCACACTGTAAACTAATTGGCTAGTGGCAACACTTTAAAAGGATAGTTGAGCCAAAAAACTAAACTTCTATAGTTTACTCAACCTCATGAAAAACCTGTATGACTTTCTTTCTTCAGTGGAACACAAACCAAGACATTTTGCACAGTGTCTAAGCTGCTTTTTTCAATACAATTGAAATGGAGACGAATGATGAAATGATATGCCACAATTGATGTCAGTGATCATCAGTCATTTCATAAGGTCACACTGTCAATGTGGCCCGAACCCAGAGTACTCCCCCATATCCCTGGCTGGGATAGGAACTAGCTGAGAGTGAGGAGTCGGGGTGGCGGAGGGCTGCAGAAAAGACTGTCGAGGACCGAAGGCGAGTCAGCGATATATATAGGCCTCTGATCATACTGATTGGGTAGATAATTTGAACGTGCTCCTCCCGAATGTTGTCAATAAAACATTATGTGTCACGATTCCCCAGTGTCTTTGTTCATGAACTTTTATTTTGATATTCTTTTGTCTCGAATAGCCTATGTTCATTTCCTGTGTGTTTAGTGCCCGTTTCCTTGGTTGCCATAGTTATTTTTTTGTTTCATTGATTAGTGTCTCACCTGTTCCTCATCATCCTGTGTATTAATACCCTCAGTTATTTTCTGTTCTTAGTCTTATGTTACCGTTTCATGCTGGTGTTTCTATGAATGGTTCTTGATATTTATAAAATGTGATTTCATTGTTCATCTGTGTCAAGCCTCTTTTAATCTGGATTATCAAGTCAAGCCAGTACGTGACATTGCCTGTAGGAAACTTGCAATATAATGCACAAAATCATATAGAACATTTTATGGAACATCTTTTTGTCACTTTCGGAAGTAGACAGTCCTCATTATCTTTTCATTGTATGGAAAAGATCTGCTTAGACATTCAGAAAAAAAAATATTTTAGCTTTTGTTCCTCTGAAGAAAGAAAACCATACAGTGAGTTAAAGACAATTGTAATTTTTAGGTCAACTATTCCTTTAAGCCTGGGCATCCATTTTAACACAAGGGGATCATTGCAACCCCTAAATAAAAATGGCATTGTGCCACAGTGTCAAGTTTGGGATCGTTTCATTTTGATATCCAATGGGACGTTTTATTTTTTCTTGCAAAATGAGATAGGAGCAGGATGTTTGCTGCAGAGCTCAGCGGTTTTGAGGCTGAAAAGCAATGGCATGGGGCAATTGAACCTGCAATAGTTTTGTTAGTCTGCAGTTTCATGCACAATGTGGCATGTTTACCATCTTACCAAGCAATCAAATTGGATAATCTGTGAGTGGGTTATGGCTTGAAAACCAAATGCCAAAAAAAACAAAAAAAAACTGAACATGGATGACTAGGCTTGGGTGTTTTGATACCTACAAACCCCGGTCCCAACCCACAAACTCCACCAAAATGTTCTTCTCCCAGTCTTTCTTGTGAGGGATACTCACTTTTTATTGTTATGACCCACGTATCTCACAGCTGCGATGATGAAGGCGATGACCGCCACACCTCCGATAGTCCCCACTATGACGGCCATCATGTACTTTTCTAAAAGAGTGCATAGAGTTAATTGATGACACCTCAAAATCACATTAATGATTGGACATGTGGCTTCAGTGAAAGTCTACTTACTCTCCTGCTGCAATTCCAAGCGGATGGTCTCGGAGCCGTATATGTTGCTGATACTGCAGTGCACATGGACAGCGGTATCACCATTGTTTCCCGTTTCACCCTTGTCCTGGAGCTTAATGATGCCCGTGGACGTGTACCCATCCGAGTGCATGTAGTAGTTGAAACGGTTGTTGGAGTTGTTGATGGTGATGTTGAGGTCAGGCAGGTGGAATTCGATCACAGGCTCAGGGTTTCCTGAGGCAATGCACACACACTGAACGCCCTCACGGACTATAGTGCACTTAGAGTCGTCAAGGAGGACAGGGGCAACTAGGAAAATTGAGAAGAAATAATAATAAAAAACACATCTTTCTGTGTTGTAGTACTTCAGTCCGGACAAGACTGGACTTGGAGTCAGAGTCCAAGAACGTAGTTTCAGAAGCATTTGAATTCGGCCTGGATTCTGACTTGAATGATCTGGGGCCTCATTTATAAAACTTTGCGTAGGATTTGCGTCAGAAGTGGCGTACGGATGAAACATAGGACGTGCGTACGCACAGAAATATTCGGATTTATAAAACCGTGCGCACGCACATCCTACGCATTTTTCCCTTAATAAATCACAATCAATTCTAAATGTAGCGCAGCTTTTGCGGCTTCATGTCACGCCCATAGTTGCCCATAAATAGTCTGTGAAACGCCCACAAGTTAATATTCATCGATTGCGAAATCATGGCAAACATAGAGAGGAAATAAAAAAAACGTAACTTCACTCAATGTGAAGTAGAAGTTATCGTTGGCGAGGTGGAAAAGAGGAGAAAAAATGTTGTTTGGAGGGCACAGTGTGGGCATTACTAATGCCAAAAAGGCACTTGAGTGGCAAAAGGTTGCAGACGCCGTAAATGCTGTAGCCTCACAACCTCGGACTGTGGCCAAAATAAAAAAGAAATGACAAGCTACAGATGTCGGTTATAATCTACTTGGAAATGGGAAATAGTTCAGCGCAAATGTAATTTCTTGCAGCTTTCTGAATGATTGAGACATAGGTCTACGTCATACGTTATTTTATCAAAAATAAAACAAACTAAAGGCATATGAATACCATGATTCCCTAGCTGATGAAGACATTTTTACTATGAAAACAACTTTCCCCAGTGGACAAATAATACATCTATCTATCTATCTATCTATCTATCTATCTATCTATCTATCTATCTATCTAATTATCTATCTATCTGACTGACTATCTAGCTATATCTAGCTATATCTGCTCCGCCTGACGAACACATTGGCGAGCATATCAGTTTTGTACATTATTTCGTTCTGTTTACCATCTTATTTATGAGGATGAATTGTATGCCAATATTATTGCAGAACATATTTCACTTTTCTTTTTGCAAATATGTGTTAATTTGCATTTCTGTTGTAGATCGATCAAACGGGTGTTCGTGTTGGCTGTTAATTGTAAGACTTGCTTTGTGAAGTCTTCGTGTTATTTATGAGAGGCAGTATTGCCATTTATTTTACACAACGGTCTACAGTTTCACACACTTTCACGTGTTTCTTCCATCTGCCGACGGTGTCGCCATTTCTCATTTCACCCGTTTTTGTGCGTACGCCTGGGTCAGAGCTTGCTTGAAGGACCGCACATTTTACCGTGAAGTTTGCTTTTTATAAATACAAATTATTGCGTAGAGAGCGGCGTACGCCTTCTTTTGTGCGTACGCAACGTTTATAAATGAGGCCCCTGGTCTCGACTAGTCATAGCAAATATGGTCTTGGACTTGAGATGGACTTGTCCAGACTAAAATACTACAACACTGACATCTATCCTTTACTTGCTCATCTGTTCATCTATGCTCATCTTGCCATCTTAAGGCTTGACCCAAGCTGAACGCAAACCAAAACCAACTTTTCTTTGGAGAAAACATATTTATAAACTGTCCCTCAGCATAATTACAGTCTACTGGCTCAATGTCTTTACTTAAAACTGGTCAAACTTTTACAGCGACTTACATTCTACTGTAATGTTAAGTGAGCTGCTGGCCCGTCCGTGTTCGTTCTCGGCTAGACAGCGGTAGACTCCATCGGCCTGCGGTGTGATCTCGTGCAGCTCAAGCACAGACCCCTCCTCAGCTGTGATGGTGCCCACCAGCTCCCCATCCTTCAGCCAGGTCAACGTGGGCATTGGATTACCCCTGCTGGTGCACTGTAGAGCAACTGAAGATCCCTCTAACGCTGTCAGAGACTCATTGATCCTTGGCTCCCGTGGAGGAACTTCCAGTTTGAGAGAAAAGAAAGAAAACCGGATTTCCGGATTAATGTTCGGATGGAGAATGGAATGCAGGTATACGGCTTATACTGCCATATGACTTATTAGCACAAAACGGAAAAAACTTAAGCCATTATCTGTATCCAAACTCACAATTGCTTGCAGAAACTTTAAGAGATTTATTTTTTTAATCCACAGGAGTGCATGAACTTTTACTTACAATTTACTGCCAGATACATGGATGTGTTCATGCTGCCGTAGCCATTGTCACCAACGCAGGTGTAGACACCTTCCTCCTCCGGGGTCAGGTTGTCCAGGGGCAGTGAAGAGTTTGAGGCGGTTTCCGACATCAGCTCTTTTTCACCAAAATACCAAGTTATCGTGGGGACTGGATTACTGTCCACATCACAGTGCAGGACCACCGAGCTTCCCTCCATCACCTCTTGAGACACATTCACCCACACGGTTCGAGGGGCGTCTACAGATTACAGGATAAGTCAGTAGATATTGTCTGAGAAAATTATGCATCGGTTTTGATGAAAGTTAAGCAGCTAAACGTTTAATAAAATGGTGGAACTTACACTTGATGTCCAGAGAAATGAGGCGTTCATAGACGAAGGTGGTGTTTGGGTAGTGGACCCGGCAACCCAGCAGCTGGCCGTTGTGCATGGGTTTGGGTGTGAAGGTGAGGGTGCTGGACAGTACAGCAGTGTTGCTCTCCTCAACAGTGTCAGGGGTGAAAACGGGGTCGGGTAGGTAGTCTGTGTACATCCAGTGGATCTCTGGACTCATGTCTGGACAATTGTCTGGGACATAACAGGTCAAGTCCAGGCTTAAGTCACTAACAATCTCCTCTGGAACATCGATGTTGGGCTGATCTAGAGCAGGGAAAGACATAGAAGTCAATATCAAGTCAAAAAAGACCTGTTTACTTGATACTTTAATCAAGCCAAATAATCATTTATGTATGGAATTAGCAAACCTGCATTTAGGTCTGGTTCCATTCTTCTATACAGCACCCACTTTTAACAGTACAAAGTCTCGCCCTACATTTTTACTCATTAAATATGCTGTTTGATCCAGAAATACATCTTATTACAAAAGTAAAATTGGTTGTGGCTGAAACTGCTGTTTCATCTCGACTTCAAATACTAGAACAACGTTTCAGTAACCACACTGAAAAAAAACATGTATCTTAGTTTAACTTTTCAGTAAAATATCTAAAAACCCTTCAAATTAATTTAATAAACTTAAGAAGCAAAAAGTGAAAAAGTCTTACAATGTAGTAAGACAAAATACACTTATGTTCAATATACCATTTATGAAAACAAGAGATGTCAAAGCAGTCCAAAACAACACTGGAACATTTTTACAAAGACATTTTTCAAAGCATCCTCTTACAGGTTTTGAATTACATGAGGGTGAGTAAATGATCACAAATGTTTAATTTTTGGTTGGACTAATCCTTTAATCTTAATCTTATGCAGTGTTGCTTCTCAAGTAAATTTGCATTGTTTTAAGGATTTGGGGATACTATTACTGGAAGACACATAAAAAGGTATAATTAAATAATGTTTTTTTTTCTTCATACTCTGGCCTGCATACTTACTCAACACCTGTAGATTTGTGAAGTCAGGAAAAGTGTAGATGTTTGCTCCGCCCAGGTCTGCACGGAAGTAATACCTCCCAGAAAGTTCCTCGCCGACATTTTTTATCAGCAGTGTGCAGTTTTTTTGTGTCAGGTCACCCAGTAGCCTGCTCCGTCCCTTATAACTTTCGTGAACAATATCTGTGCGTGACTTATACACCACTGGGGGGAAAAGCTGGGGGTAGGGGTGTCCAAAATACCAGATCCCGTGGACCCCCCTGTAAGGCCTGATACCAGAGGGGTATGTGAATGAACAAGGTATAACCACACAGGAGTTTGTCATGGCTGAAATGTCTCTGGGCATCCACACATTCCACTGAGCACTAACATCTGTCCAGAGAAAGAGGGAAGAGTGCAAGAAATGTAGTTAAAATAATCTAATCTTTTAACACTAATAAAAAAGTATTATTGTATTATTATATCTTTTTTTTGGGGATGTGTACTAAAGTGATAGCATGTTTTTGGACATGCATCATAGTATCTTAAGTTAACATTAACAGAACGAACCACAGTAATAGCATGTTTGATTCAGAACAAGTACTTACCTTTTAGAAAAAGCAGCAACAGCAGCAGCTCCAAGCCCTTCATGGTCTCAGTTTAAATCTGGACCATAAACCTCTGTTACAAAACCAGCACAAGCATCAGCAAGACAAACAGACATCTACTATACTGAGCTTGTAGCACTCTCATTTTTGTAGTTTCATTTATCTGTTGGCATTTTTATCATTCATAAAATAGAACAGATGGGGACAAAAGCGGTGAAGATTAAGGATGACAGAGCCTTGGCGTAAAAAAAAAGAAGTGTTTTATAGAACACAGTTCACAAGTTTTAACTTGTTTTGGCCATATTTCACTCCACAATCAAGAGGGGGGTCAAATAATTTTAGAGAAAATTAATCCTATTTTTAGGACAAATATGATATAGGGCCTATGCAGAATTACAGTAATGGGAATTTGAAGAATATGGACAAATATGAAAAAGCAAAAAAGTAATGATCCAACAACTAGGCTTTGTTTTGTTTATGCAAAATATAATATTTGTTCCCTTTTAAAAATATATATATATTAGGGTGAAATGTGACCAAAACGTGTTTATGTGGGATTCACCCTATTAATAAAGGATAGGGCCTATTCGGTAGGCTACATCTTTCGACGAATAGTTGTGTAGCCCATTAACTCAATAGTATCTAGCTCCGTGTTTTGTTACTTTCGATAAGAAACAAAGTCTCATGTCTCAAATTTTGTCCATTTTATCACGAAATTAAAACAAATTTTGACGCTCTTTGATGTGGCGTGACAGATCACTATAGACGCCTCAGTTCAAGCGGGAGCCCGGTGAGTGAGTGAACGCGATCATCCCTTCCTCTTTAATGCTAGTTACAGAATAAACATCTGAAGGTATGTTGAAAGATACAGTACAACTTACTGAAACGTATTATATCTGATGTAATCGCTCAATCAGTGTTTCAACGGCGGAAAGACGTCAGTAAAACAGCTTGTTGTAAACAACGTAGCATTACATTTACCTCAGGCAAGTCATTCAGTGTCCACAGCTTGTTATCAGCTAGAGAAATGAACTCTTATTAAATAAATAGATGCACTATATTAGCCCATATAGCCTATTCATTATATTTTAATGAACCTGTCTTGATTATTTAATGTATATGTGTAATGTATGTTTTAATAAATCTGTCAAGAAAAAAGTTATAACAGCCACTGTGTAAATTATTATATTTTAACAACGACTTGGAGGAGAAACATAATTTTATATATAGATTTAGAAGTTGCAAAATCTGCCTTATATACAATTTACATGTGTGCATACAATTTTTATGTGAGTGTCATTAAAAAATAAATACCAAATTAATTCAATATTTATGGACTAAAAAATGGGCTTTGTTGTTAATTGCATTATAGTAATGTGTAAGTAAGGGCTCCCTTTACTATTAGTTTACTGCGTAAGCAGAGATAGAAAAATTTAATTATAATTGAATTTATTTAAAGACAGAGACACAATTTGTTCAGTAAACCAGTTTAAGAAAAGAAAAAAAAACTATTTTATGTTTAGTTTTCTCCTTCCTGCTGTACTGAACCGTGACTTCAAAACCGAGGTACATACCGAACTGTCATTTTTGTGTATGTTACACCCCTAATATATGTGTGGATGGATGGATGGATGGATGGATGGCTTGAGCCTATACACAATAAAATATTGCTTATTTCTATTTGGTTCACTTAGCCTATAACTATTTGTGTTTGTTTTCAGGCAACCTTTCGGGCAATACCTTGAACTGCTGGCAGAGTGTGCTGAACCCGCGACCAACTTTAATTCCCCTCTCCAACGGTGTATCCTACTAGCCGCTGCTGTTGTTCTTCCCTCACAAACAAGGGGGCGTTCTCTCACAGCACATCAACTCAGCTTCCCTTCTGATTTGTCTTAAAACAACAACAAAAAATGACATCAGTATCAAGAAGCTGCATTATCTCTGCTCTTAACCCACACAGACACACACTCTTTACTCAGGCACACCGTAAAGGGCCGCAGTGTGTGGGAGAGGAGAATTGCTCATTATGAGTATACGACGTCAGCCCTTACGTGTTTGGCAGGCATACAGACATCACTGTTCATGCTATGACACATCATCCATAGCACATTCATCCACGCTTACACAGCGTCACCCAGCTGCCCCTGTTGACTTTATTCCCGCACACCACTCGCCTGTCAGTGGTGTGTTTACACACGCGTGTGCATCTCCTCAAGACTTTAGGGCAGACGGAGAGTACAGATGGTGGCTGATAATTGGATTGTTCTTGAAATCTCGAAGATTATTATATCAGAAGATTCCCCTGACAGCTCACGAGTTTGACGCAGTTATTGAACGAATAAACTTTGCGAGATGACAGAGGCTCTTAGTATATAAAAACAGTCAAGAGTATTGACAAATGCCCCTAATACAGCCCACATTTACAGTATATTCATAACAAGTTGCCATCCCTTCACAGTAATTTTTTCAGAAGTAGTTTATTTTAATTAATAGAATAATACAAATAAAATATTTTAAGTAAATATTTGATTAAATGATTAAATAATGAATAGCTGTGGGTTGCCATCTAATTCCAACCTGGCAAGACTTGAAACACAAATAAAAATGTCCCTACAGTGTTTTGGACCCCATTGACTTTCAGTGCATGGACAAAAACAGACATTTGAATATTCTTTAAAATGACTTATTTTGTGTCCCACAGAAGAACGATAGACATACAGGTTTGGAATGACATGAGGGTGAGTAAATCATGATATCATTTTCATATTTTTGGGGTGAACTATCCCTTTAAGGCCTGGCTTTTAAAATTACATTTTTTACAAAACTTGTAAAAAAAAAAAAAAAAAAGGTCCTATATACCCAGAAATATTTTACAAAAAAACAAAACAAAAAAAAAACAGTATTTTATTATTATGAGTGTTGAATCTTGTCAATCCTGGCAATATTTTACTGAACATAATTCTAACAATTGAAACCCTACAAAAATGTCTCATTAAACAAACATCCCTAGCAGCCTTTTTATTCTTGTTAATCATAACCGAATAATTATAGTGACTCCAGCTGTTCCAGAAAAACAGAACTAATTTATATGCCCATCACACAAGATCTAAGAGGCAGCAAACTGCTGTTGCTTGGAGCTGAAACCCCTGGTAGCACGCGTTAGAAAGCATGAAGCAATTCCCAAGCCAAACAAACGGACCATTCATACTCCACAAACAAGCCTTGCACCATCCAGGACACTTGCCTCATTCCAGATCCAGATTCCACTCTTTGGCTCTCCTGAAGGGGAAGAACTGGTCTCTCTGCTCCTGGTTCTGGTTCTTCAAAGTCCTCCTGCTCTTCGTCCTTCCTCGGAGGTGCAGGAATGGTGGGAAAAGACAAAGAGGGAGGGCAATAGAGATAGACAGATAGGGAGAGGAGAGGATAGAGACTTTTAGCTATAACAAGCTGGGCAAATGTGTGCCGTGGGCAGCCTTGAATATGCAGACATTTCCCTCAGTGCATTCTTCTTTTCTAGCCCACATCGTACATTCCTCTCCATGACATCTCTCCTTTCTACCCTGGTCAACCCCTCTTGTTCCAGCCTGTCTGGGTAACTCTGTTCCTCGTGGTTTTCAAGTATACTTCTGCTATGGGTCATGAGTTGGAGGACCCACTATATCCTGTAAATCTGCTGAAGTTCATCTTTGATGCATGACTCACCTTATTAGCTTAATCTGTGAAATATTTGTGCCTCAGTTGTGGTTCATTTTAACTAAACATGAAATCATAATGGACCCCATTTCATTTTTAATGCACATCCCTTGTCTTATTATGAATGATTCATCAGTGCATGTTATTCCAAAAAAATCTTTGGAATCTTTCATCAAAATGCAATGGCTTACTCTTCCTCTGAATCAACATCACTTACACACGTTGTTTAAAGAAACTTGCATTCAGTCTGGTACTTTTTTTTTTCTTTGAAAGAAATACTTTTATTCTGCAAGGACACATTAAATTGACCAACATTTTTTCCAAATTTTTTCTTTTTCAAATAAATTGTTCTTTTGAACTTTATATTTATCAAAGAATCCTGAACAAAATGTATCACAATTTCCACAAAAATATTACTCAGTATTGTTTCCACCATTGATAAAAATAATAATAATAATAAATGTGTTTTTTTAGCAGCAAATCGTCATATTAGAATGATTTCTGAAGAATCACGTGACACTGAAGACTGGAGTAATGATGCTAAAAATACAGCTTTTGCCATCACACGAATAAATAACATTTTAAAATCTATTAAAATTGAAGAACAGGTATTTCTAGTTGGTTTCTAGTTAGTTTGGTGTTAAATAACAGGTCAAAGTTAAAGGAGCCCACCTCCAACTTCTCTATAGCATTCTGGACTCCATTTGTTGCATGGGATTCTTCAACAGTGGACGTCTGGGATTTTTTGGTCATAGAATTTGTAAGATAAATTTTGTTTGTCAATATTGTAAATCAAAATACTATTTATGATGGACAGTTGCCATAGGGACTCCCATAGTTAATGGAGGGGGCTGTGTGGAATAAATACACAACAGGGAGCCTGTGTGAAATCAAGACGTACGACATGCCACAGCACCCCACACACACATGCTATGACACACGCACCGTAACGCACCACCTTCCCACTAACACACACAAATGAATAGTGTAGCACATGCCAACACACTCACATCGCAATGTAAAGCTGCTAAATGTCCTTTCTATTTTTCTGCATCCTTCACTCAATGTAAAGTTTGTGTTTGAGTGTCTGTGTGTAAGCGAGTGAGCAATCCATCTAATAGTAAAGAGCAGTATATATCCAGAAACAATGTGATACTGGAACCATGCTGTACGGTCTCGTACTTCTATGGGCTTCTTAAGTGGGTGTCGGAAACAGCTATCAGCCAATGCAGCTTGGACAAAAAAAAGTGAAGCCTCTCCTTCATTGACATCCATAAAAAACAGCTTCTTGTCTCCTTCCCTGCATACCGCACTGTTAGCAGGCGTTACAATTATTTTGCTAACCTTGGAGGCTTGTATACATATATATATATATATATATATATATATATATACAGAGAAGAAACCCATCTCTGGAACATTTAAAGGTGCATTCAGTATATTGCATTGCGTAATATGAACTGCTGACACCTAGTGGTGTGGATGTAGCATTGGGCAAAAGCAAATGTTTTTCTGATGCCAGAATGGGCAATTTTTGTTATTAACACTTTTTGTTATACTGGTTGAAACTCTCTTCACTTTTCTGTTAGCTTCAGTCCGAATGCAATATGTTGTCCTAACTGCCTGTCAAAATGCATTTCCATATCTCCATGCACCCGCTCTTGCAGACATCACGTCATCAAGGCTATACAGACTTGTAGACAGACTTCAGTCACCGAGCGCCACAGACAAAACAGCAGCAGCCTTTTACAGTTCCTCCTGAACCAAAACAATTATGCTGCATTCACGCCACGTCACAATCATAAATACGAGATGGCAACCTGTGACGTTCTACCCCCAGCTGTAGTGTCAACACGATCAACACTGAAATGAATCTGCAGCAGTCTGTTGATACAAGTAAGAGCTCTGTAAGTTGTTTACATTCATTATTATTGTAATGTTATGTGCTTTAGGACATGAGACATTTAATGCCCTTTCTCGTCTCGTGACGCTTTGCAGACTCTGCTGTGTGTTCATGTGTTTTGAAGGACGCGTGACTTTGGAGATGTTCTGAAGGAAAGGTGGGAGCTTTCAAAGCTAGCTTGCTAACCTCTCTGAAATTGCCTACCCTATAGCTTTAAATTATTCCACAACCAAAAGAGTCCAAAAACAGGGAGGTTACAGAAGTAAAGCAAATATTATTCAGCAGGTCATGTGATCTCAAAATGGCCGCCCCCATGAGGCAACCTACTCCATGTAAAATGAAACTACTGATATGACTGGAGGCTTTATCAAATCATTTTAAACATTGGTAATGCATAATTGAGGTAGTTAATTAATTGAGTGCAATTAATTTATGTTTAAATTAGGGAAATTACTTACTGCACCTTGAAACATTGCTATGTTAGTGCACATCTATCAATCGGTTCTGTATAAGTGTGCACCTTGTGCTATAGATCTCTTCAGAACAGGTCTGTTCACAGCATGCTTTGCTGTCCGCCTGTGACGCGCCCTGCGTCCATACGCCTGGGCACCCTCTAAATTTACCAGAGGAGCAGATGGTGGTAAAAAAAACATGACTGCTGGCCCTCCCACGCTGTTTGCTGTATAAGCGACTATGGCTGAGAGTGTTTATGAATGTGCACTTAGTAGGGCATATTATCCGCGGCTTGTATAATTTTTGTGGGAGGGATTACAAATGCCTGTGACTCAAAACACACAGCATACAAAGATAAAACTATCAGCATCATCAGCATGGAGTAACAACTTTGGGGTGATTAATAAATCCCAAATGTTGGCAAATCTCAAAACAGAACTTGCACAGCTTGTAAACTAGCAAGGCAATAATGGATAAACGGCTAATGTGAGCAGCAATCCATCAATGAGTCAGACTGTAAACATCGCTCAGATTCAAAATGATCTGATCCGGGCATGTGTAAAGTTTCATGAAGCAGCCCACTCACAACCGGGACCCACAAGAACGCTGCCAGGACGGGGATTCTAATTGTCAAAATGTCTAAAGTTTGAAACAATATCCTGTTGCGTTATTAAATTTCCCTGAAACAGTCAGAATTGCTTCAATCCACAGAATACAAAAATGGGAAGATCCTCTATTCAAGAATAGAGAAATAGGCATTTAATTTGTAATGTTTACATATATTTATTTATAATAATAATTAGGGCTGTCAAATGATTAATCGTGATTAATCACATCCAAAA